AATGTTGTTCAAGAATGTGTCCCGTTTCTAGAGCACTGTGAACTTTGTGGCAGGAGCATACCTGCTGTTATTGAACAACCCAGGGAAGAATAAAGAGTGCATATTGGAAAGAACAGTCACATACGAATCCAGACAATTAAAAGCTTTGATTTATGAGATTATAGGATGGAATATGTAGTGTCTGATAATAGCTTTTATCTAAATGACTTCAGTACCCACATTTCACACAGTTTTTAAGTCTGTATTTATCCTTGAGAACTTTAGTGTTACACTTGAACTTTGTATACTTAAAATTATATTAACAAGTATTATTTGAGGAACTTACCCATTTTATTCAGAAGAGTAAGGAGCATGCAATAAAAGCTAAATCACTTTTGCGTTCTCTCTGCCAGTAATAGTCACCAAGTCTTGCCTTCAAGCATCAATTGCTGGAGTAACATCTTTGTGCAAGCAAGTAACCCTAAATAGCAGTTTACATTCACTTTAGGCTGTAGAAAAGGGTGTGGCCTGAGCCAGAGATCTGTTAGAGTGGATGTGTTTGCATTCCTCTGGTGACCAGTATGTAATGGTCCATGGCCGGATCATTTCTTAATCAGCAAATAAATATTGTGCCATCTCAGGATAGACTTGGCTGTCCAATAAAACCAATTCTTTCTTAAACTTATGCCTCCACTCTTTTTTTTTCAGTCCTTTCACTTTCTGGGTCTTAGCAAAGTTGAGTTTGGACCCCAGCCTAAGCTCTTTTAGAAGTACAGGTACTAAATGGATGCAAATTGGTTCTTTTCAGGTATGGGGTTTTGTTTTATAGTCAATATTTCACCTTCCTATTCCATTTTTCATTTTCCAAAATTGATTGTACCTCCTTGTGAATACTGACAGGTATCAAGTGTGGAAGCTTTATAATGTGTTTAGTGTAGGGAAAAATTATTACTGAACTGATCATGAAAAAACCAAGTTATGAGTTACAGACCTTTCACAGTCAAGCTTTAGGCCCTAAGAAATTCATTTACCCCTCGAGGGCTCAGTCATTTGAACTACTAGGTGCTCTTTACAGTTACTTCTGGCTGTAACATCTTGTTCTGTATAAGCCATATAGTTGCCTTTCTTCTTTTATGACCTGAATATACACAAGTCACTCAGGAAACAGAGTATGTATTTGTACCATAAGTGAACATTTTCTGGTATTTTGGCTTATGACAGTAAATGTTAACCCCTCAGGTAAATGTTTGTTATCTTATTGTTGGATGCTATAACATTTTGACTACAACTAAGAAATCTGGATTTTTGTCTTTTTTCCACCTGAAGGTTTGCTTACAACTCTAGCTATGAATGTATTAGAAGACAGTCCTTGTTCTCTGCTATGGTTGTGCATAAATTAAGAATTTTATAAATATTTAGAAATTAATTCTCTTCACTGCCTTTTTTTAGTTTATCTACTAATGTATGTATTTGTTGGGGAAGGAGAGATTTGCTTTTAATTCTTCCCCAAAATGTTATACCAAAATGATATATAAATGACATATACTCCAGGAGTTGTATTAAGAGGCTATTATAATATGCATTTTAATCAATTATTCTTGAAATAATTAGCGTCTCTCCTGCCCCTGAGGTGAAGGCCTCCACCTGCCAGTCTGCCCAAAATCTGGAAACAGAGACATTGAGGATAACACAAAGATTCAGCTATGTGATTTCCTTCACAACCCACCTTGGATCCCCTTCATGTCCAAATCTCAGTAGTTAATCAAATGTCTGCTGCCATTAACAGAACAGAAGTAACGGATGACAGAGTGGACATAACAGATGCCAGAGCTACCTCTGTAACTAACTCCCCAAATCAAAGCATCAGACCTTACACCCTTGTTTTATTTAATGCAAGGAGGAGAGGTCATGCAGACTTTCCAAAAGAATAAAGCCACAATAAATGGGAACACTATTTCCAGTTTATAAAGCTTTCTCTTGGAGTGTTTTTCTCTTTTCTTTTTGCCTTTAAAGTGTCTATTTAGAAGGTAGTAGTGTGTACTGCTATAGGATGTATCACAAGAAATGAAAAATCTCTCTTCTTTACCACCCTCCTTTTTATCTTTTAGTTTCTCCCTTTTGTCAATTACAAGGACACTTTTCTGATAGCTGGCAGTTGAAACCACAAGCAGATATAAAGCATGCATACCCACGTTTTAGCAATAAGTGTCAGGTAAGCTAGTACTATGATAATCAAGGTGACTTTAGAAATCATTCAAAATGCATTTTTGCAAATTGAGATAACATTTTTCAATAAAAAGCGACTCTCAAATTAGTAAAGCCTGAGAAAATTTTAAGAGGATTCACCAAAGGCATTGGATCTGTATAATTTTTAGAATACAGTGTGTTTTATTTGTATACTTGTATACTTCCAACCCCTATACTTTTCTTTCAAACTCTCTTTGACCTCAATAGAAAAATAGTGACTGAAATTTTAAAGAAGTACAACGTTTTTATTTTTCAAATGTTCCACAACATTGGGAATTAAATATATTCAACTCTGGAGGACACTTGCTTTTCTGTATCTATGATCATTTTATATTGAAAAATAGAGCCAGGCATTAACCAGAAGGTAATCAATTCATTAACCACAGGTATAGTATGGTCCTGTTTTAATATTATCCTGGGGGAAGGGGTAGGTAATGGTGAGGGCAGTTTGAGGTGATTACTTTATACTTGAATCCCCTATTAATTGAAGTCCTTTTGGTGGTTTTATTAAACCAACTCCCTTGGATTTGGGCCAAGATTGATCCATCTCACGCTGAAATCTTGTTTACAACATACTGTGTATATATTAGAAAAGGAATTGCTTTCATAGGGAAAAACTATTAGAATATAGAATTCTATATGTATTTCTAGTATGAAAAATAAGCATTTGTTAAAGTAAGATTGGCCAATAACTTGATTGTGAATATTATTAGGTGAAAATGTACACTGAGTCCAAGTCCTTGTTCAAAAGTGAAATTTGCACATATTTGTGAAAATTAAACACATCATTACCAATGACTGGATACTTCAGTTCAAAACAGCAAAGGGCTAAAATGGCACTGTGCTAACAGGATCCAAGTAAGGTATGTAAGAAAGCATTTATTATTATTATTATTATTATTATTATTATTATTATTATTATTTTACAATCTGAGAGACATTTATTTAAGAAAAGTGGTCAAGTCTTCGTAACAACAGTGAGTTTTAATGGGTTTTTTTCAGTTTTATTATGTAGAATTATTACAGTTCGACTGCACATACACATTATATTGCATGTAAATACATATAAATAGTATACTGCACATTTTTTTAGTTTTCATATATGTACTAATTATTGTTTCTAAGAACAGATTAGATCTTTAGCTTTTTAAACTTATATAGTTATCAAAGGAATAAAGCCAACTACAAAATAAGAATCAACAGAATGCAGTAATCCAATCAGAAAGGGCAGTCAAATGTCCTTTACACATATTCAAGAAATCAAAATAATAATTAGTTCATTTGTGTTCTCATTTTTTTTTAGATTCTTCATATAAATGATGTCATATGGCATTTTTCCTTCTTTTTCTGGCCCACTTCACTTTGAATGACAGTCTTCAGGTCCATCCATATTGCTGCAAATGACATTATTTTATTTTTTTTATGGCTGAGTAGTGTTCCATTGTATATACGTACCACATCTTTATCCAGTCATCTGTTGATGGACATTTGGGTTGTTTCCATGTCTTGGCGATCGTAAATAGTGCTGCTATGAACATTGGGGTGCAGGTGTCTTTTTGAACTTTATTTTTCTCTGGATATATGCCCAGGAGTGGGATTGCTGGATCATGTGGTAAGTCTTATTTTCAGATTTTTAAGGAACCTCCATTCTGTCCTCCATAGTGGCTGCACCAATCTACATTCCCACCAACAGTGTAGGAGGGTTCCCTTTTCTCCACACCCTCTCCAGCATCTATCATTTGTAGACTTTTCAATACCGGCCATTCTGGCTGGTGTGAAGTGATATCTTATTGTAGTTTTGATCTGCATTTCTCTGACAATTAGTGATGCTGAGCATTTTTTCATGTGCCTATTGACCATTTGTATGTCTTCATTGGAGAATTTCTTGTTTAGGTCTTCTGCCCATTTTTGGATTGGGTTGCTCGTTTCTTTGATATTAAGGTGTATGAGCTGTTTGTATATTTTGGAAATTAGTCCCTTGTCAGTCACATCATTTGCTAATATTTTCTCCTATTCTGTAAGTTGTCTTCATTTTGTTGATGGTATCCTTAGCTGTGCAAAAGCTTTTCAGTTTAATTAGATTCCATTTGTTTATTTTTGCTTTTAATTCCAATTCTCCAGGAGCTGGTTTAAAAACTACATTGCTGTAACATATGTCTGTGAGAGTTCTGCCTGTTTTCCTCTAGGAGTTTTATAGTATCTGTTCTTACATTTAGATCTTTAATCCGTTTTGAGTTTATTTTTGTATATGGTGTTAGGGAATTTTCTAATTTCAATCTTTTACAAGTAGCTGTCCAGTTTTCCCAGCACCACTTATTAAAGAGACTATCTTTTCTCCATTGCATATTCTTGCCTCCTTTGTCACAGATTAATTGACCATATGTGCATGGGTTTATTTCTGGACTTACTATCCTGTTCCATTGATCTATGTGTCTGTTTTTGTGCCAGTACCATACTATTTTGATTACTGTAGCTTTGTAGTATAGTCTGAAGTCAGGAAGTATGATTCCAGCTCCCTTCTTCTTTTAGAAAGCATTTATTGCTGTTATTATTTTGTTTTCAATTATGTCAGTACAAGAGGCAAATGCTTAAGATAAAAGACACATGACTAAAGGTTTCACCAGCACTCAGGGCACCTGCTCTAAAAAGTATGTCCACAGAGTCTTGAGGAGCTTGTCAAGACTCACTAGGAAATTACTGGCTAGTTAGTATTTCTGTCTCTTCTGCATAAGGTCAGAGGTTATTCTGTGTAGATACAAACTCTTGGTCCCATTTATTCCACATTTGCCAAAGCCATCTTCTATAATTTAATTTACGCACTTCATATATGGAAAGGAGAATATATACTTTGGAGAATATAAGAATTTTAGTTTATCTTTAAGTCAGGAAATTATATATATATAATTATATATTATATATGTAACATATTATATATTATATATAATATTATATATATAGAGAGAAACAGATGGTCATACCCTTACATTGTAAAGCAGAAGAAAGCTTCAGGAATTGAATCACAACAGAAACACATTGCTAAAAAAAATTCTGTTACAAGGAAATACCTCATACCCACATATGCCAAGGAGTGCCATTATTTTGTGTGTTTCCTAGAAAAAGTAGTTAAGGAGGCAATTTTTCCAAGTCTTTTATTGTTGTACTGATTCATTATGTTTAAACTGTTTCAACAAAGTGCCAAAGAACAATGGTGAGCTATATGTGATTTGGCCAAGATGCTGAAAGTAGTTATTAGCCCCCTTCAGATTCTAAGGAGGAATACCACTCAGCCATAAAAAAAGAATGAAATTTTGCTATTTGCAGCAACATGGATGGACTTGGAGGGCATTATCCTAAGTGAAATAATTTAAGACAGAGGACAATAAATACTGTATGATACCACTTATATACGGAATCTAAAAAACATAACAAACTAGTGAATACAACAAAAAAAGAAGCAGACTCACAGATACAGAGAATAAACCAGTAGTTACCAGTGGGGAAGGGGAAGGAGTAGGGATGTAAGCTACTGGGTATAATATAGGCTCAAGGATGTATTATACAGCATGGAGAATATAGCCAATATTTTCTAACAGCTGTAAATGGAAAGTTAATTTTTAAAATTGTATAAAAATTTTAAAATACTTTAAATAAAGGAATTTTTTAAAAAAAGAAACGGAAGAAACTTTTTCTGATAATGTACATGAGATTTATAATGAAATTATCAACAAAATTGTAAAATTATTCTGGAAGTAATTGCATGGAATATAAAATGGAAAATCATAAATGCATTCTTCTATAATATTTGTATATATGACTTAAATAGATTCTTTAAATGATAAACTGGGTATTAACGATAAAACATTGGAATGCATCTGCAACAATGAGCCCAGGGCTGGGCCTAGCTCATCTCTTGTATTGGAAACCTGGGGCTCACAGATTAATATGACTTGTCCAAGAGTGACCTGTGGCCAAGCCAGAGTCAGAATCCAGGGCTTCTGGCTCAACTCCTGTGCTCTTTCCACTCAAGCCCATTCCACTCCTTAGATTTTTCTCCAAATTACTCTGACTCTATTGATGTTAAGCATTTCTTTTCCCAGAGCCATGACTTTTACTACTTCCATAGCTGCTAATTATTTAATTGGTGGTTCAATAAGCTCTTCCCAAAGTACACACTTAGTGAGCACATTCCTGGGATGGCCCAAATTATCCTGCAGTTTCCAAACGTGTACCAGGGGGTGGTGCTTGAGGGGGCACCACACACTATTTGGCCCAGACTTAGCTGTGGCACAATCAAGGTTGGGCACAAGGATTACTGACCCACCTGTAGTTTCATCAGCCTTTTTTAAAAAAAAATCACTTTTCATGATCCTTCTTCAAGTTGGTGATTCTTTTCTAGCCACCAGCCACAGCAAAACCAGCTGCGGGAAGGCATGTTTGGTCTCCAGGTGCAAAGGGCTGTGTGTGAGGTTCTTACCCAGAGATCGCTGCACTGGGCAAGGCCAGCTGCCTGTACGTACAGTGCGTTACCAGAGACTTCTGAGGTTCCACGAGGCTTTACCTTTACTTGCAAAGCCCACTTGCGCCAAGACCTTAAATGTTTACACTCTTCCACAAGATATTGATTACTCACTTTAGCTTAGACCTTGGGGAGGAAAAATTAAAACAAGCTAAGAACAAGAGAACAGATTGAGTCCCTTATCTACCTACTTTTTCCCTTTTGTACTAATAATTCTCAGTCCTCACTCTACATCAGAATCTGCTGATAAACCAAATATAGAAATGCCTGGCCCTAACCCCTAAAGATTCTGCTTCAATGTATGGGGATGGGAGTGGAAGGGAGGGGTCAGTTTTTTAAAAGTTCTCCCAGGTGATTTTAATGTGTCACCAAGGTTGAGAAACCACCGTTCTACACAGAGCAGTGACCACGTGGATGTTGCCGCTGGCCATGGGGGAGGGAGCACAGTCTGTCTGAGAATAAAATGACCCTGATGCCCAACCTAAAGAAATTATTAAACATGAATAAGTGAAAAAAAATCAGGGCATCTGAATTTCTTAAGGCATTCAGTCTCGGGTATTCTGATTTATTCATATAAAGCTTTTAAACCAGTGAAACCTCTTTTAAAAATTTTTTTATATCGTGCATTCAAGAATTCTTAGGCTTTTATAGAAGGACTTTAAAAAATGCTGAAGTATCTAACACAAATGAATTTATTTACAAACCAGAAATAGACTCACAGACATAGAAAACAAACTATGATTACCAGAGGAAAAGGGAGTTGGAGGGAGGGATAAATT